AAGTCCAAGCCCCTCACACACAAAACCTCCTTTACCCCCTCCCTCCAACCTTTCCTAGGCCGACCCCTACCCCGCCTTCCTTCCACTACAGACTGATACACTCTTGAAGTCTTCTGTTTTGCTCCATTCTCATCTACATGTCCGAACCACCTCAACAACCCTTCCTCAGCCCTCTGACAACAGTTTTGGTAATCCCGCACCTCCTCCTAACTCCAAACTATGAATTCTCTGCATTATATATTCACACCACACATTGCCCTCAGACATGACATCTCCACTGCCTCCAGCCTTCTCCTCGCTGCAAACATTCATCACCCATGCTTCACACCCATATAAGAGTGTTGGTAAAACTATACTCTCATACATTCCCCTCTTTGCCTCCAAGGACAAAGTTCTTTGTCTCCACAGACTCCTAAGTGCACCACTCACCCTTTTCCCCTCATCAATTCTATGATTCACCTCATCCTTCATAGACCCATCCGCTGACACGTCCACTCCCAAATATCTGAATACTTTCACCTCCTCCATACTCTCTCCCTCCAATCTGATATCCAATCTTTCATCACCTAATCTTTTTGTTATCCTCATAACCTTACTCTTTCCTGTATTCACTTTTAATTTTCTTCTTTTGCACACCCTACCAAATTCATCCACCAATCTCTGCAACTTCTCTTCAGAATCTCCCAAGAGCACAGTGTCATCAGCAAAGAGCAACTGTGACAACTCCCACTTTATGTGTGATTCTTTATCTTTTAACTCCACGCCTCTTGTCAAGACCCTCGCATTTACTTCTCTTACAACCCCATCTATAAATATATTAAACAACCACGGTGACATCACACATCCTTGTCTAAGGCCTACTTTTATTGGGAAATAATTTCCCTCTTTCCTATGTACTCTAACTTGAGCCTCACTATCCTCGTAAAAACTCTTCACTGCTTTCAGTAACCTACCTCCTACACCATACACCTGCAACATCTGCCACATTGCCCCCTATCCACCCTGTCATATGCCTTTTCCAAATCCATAAATGCCACAAAGACCTCTTTAGCCTTATCTAAATACTGTTCACTTATATGTTTCACTGTAAACACCTGGTCCACACACCCCCTACCTTTCCTAAAGCCTCCTTGTTCATCTGCTATCCTATTCTCCGTCTTACTTTTAATCTTTCAATAATAACTCTACCATACACTTTACCAGGTATACTCAACAGACTTATCCCCCTATAATTTTTGCACTCTCTTTTGTCCCCTTTGCCTTTATACAAAGGAACTATGCATGCTCTCTGCCAATCCCTAGGTACTTACCCACTTCCATACATTTATTAAATAATTGCACCAACCACTCCAAAACTATATCCCCACCTGCTTTTAACATTTCTATCTTTATCCCATCAATCCCGGCTGCCTTACCCCCTTTCATTTTAACCTACTGCCTCACGAACTTCCTCCACACTCACAACTGGCTCTTCCTCACTCCTACAAGATGTTATTCCTCCTTGCCCAATACACGAAATCACAGCTTCCCTATCTTCATCAACATTTAACAATTCCTCAAAATATTCCCTCCATCTTCCCAATACCTCTAACTCTCCTCTCCTATTTTTAACTGACAAATCCATTTGTTCTCTAGGCTTCCTTAACTTGTTAATCTCACTCCAAAACTTTTTCTTATTTTCAACAAATTTGTTGATAACATCTCACCCACTCTCTCATTTGCTCTCTTTTTACATTGCTTCACCACTCTCTTAACCTCTCTCTTTTTCTCCATATACTCTTCCCTCCTTGCATCACTTCTACTTTGTAAAAACTTCTCATACGCTAACTTTTTCTCCCTTACTACTCTCTTTACATCATCATTCCACCAATCGCTCCTCTTCCTCCCGCACCCACTTTCCTGTAACCACAAACTTCTGCTGAACACTCTAACACTACATTTTTAAACCTACCCCATACCTCTTCGACCCCATTGCTTATGCTCTCATTAGCCCATCTATCCTCCAATAGCTGCTTATATCTTTCCCTAACTGCCTCCTCTTTTAGTTTATAAACCTTCACCTCTCTCTTCCCTGATGCTTCTATTCTCCTTGTATCCCATCTACCTTTTACTCTCAGTGTAGCTACAACTAGAAAGTGATCTGATATATCTGTGGCCCCTCTATAAACATGTACATCCTGAAGTCTACTCAACAGTCTTTTATCTACCAATACATAATCCAACAAACTACTGTCATTTCGCCCTACATCATATCTTGTATACTTATTTATCCTCTTTTTCTTAAATATGTATTACCTATAACTAAACCCCTTTCTATACAAAGTTCAATCAAAGGGCTCCCATTATCATTTACACCTGGCACCCCAAACTTACCTACCACACCCTCTCTAAAAGTTTCTCCTACTTTAGCATTCAGGTCCCCTACCACAATTACTCTCTCACTTGGTTCAAAGGCTCCTATACATTCACTTAACATCTCCCAAAATCTCTCTCTCTCCTCTGCATTCCTCTCTTCTCCAGGTGCATACACGCTTATTATGACCCACTTCTCGCATCCAACCTTTACTTTAATCCACATAATTCTTGCATTTACACATTCATTTTCTCTTTTCTCCTTCCATAACTGATCATTCAACATTACTGCTACCCCTTCCTTTGCTCTCTCTCAGATACTCCAGATTTAATCCCATTTATTTCCCCCCACCGAAACTCCCCTACCCCCTTCAGCTTTGTTTCGCTTAGGGCCAGGACATCCAACTTCTTTTCATTCATAACATCAGCAATCATCTGTTTCTTGTCATCTGCACTACATCCACGCACATTCAAGCATCCCAGTTTTATGAAGTTTTTCTTCTTCTCTGTTTTAGTAAATGTCTACAGGAGAAGGGGTTACTAGCCCATTGCTCCCGGCATTTTAGTCACCTCATACGACACGCATGGCTTACGGAGGAGATTCTTTTCCACTTCCCCATGGACAATAGAAGAAATAAAGAAGAACAAGAGCTATGTAGAAAAAGGAGAAAAACCTAGATGTATGTATATATATATGCATGTGCATGTCTGTGAAGTGTGACCAAAGTGTAAGTTGGAGTAGCAAGATATCCCTGTTATCTAGCGTGTTTATGAGACAGAAAAAAGACACCAGCAATCCTACCATCATGCAAAACAGTTACAGGTTTCTGTTTCACAGTCATCTGGCAGGACGGTAGTACTTCCCTGGGTGGTTGCTGTCTACCAACCTACTACCTACAATATTCCTTATGGGAACAAATTCGGTCAGTACTGGCATCTAAACATACTTCTGGAATGAAAAAATATCGTTAACCGGGGGTCCACTGTATTTCCTATACACCGAGCCCAATTTCAAGCTACTCCAAGTCCTGAAACCAATCAAAATCATCTCTATTTCAGTAATATACATGTATCTTTCATTCTATCAAATGATACGAAGAAACAGAAAAAAACGTAAAAGCCATCTAAAAATACAGTGCAAATTCGGTTTTAAACCAAAAACTCAGTAACGGTTTTTTCCTCATCATGCATTGCGTAGGGCAAGACACACTTGCCATACTCACCCATTCTTTCACATCTAGGCCAAAATTTACCCCTCACTAACTGACCCAGAGAAAAGTAGGAGTGCCATAGGCACAATAAGAGAACACTCATCCGTGGTCCTTAAAAATTCAACCTGCTTCCAGCAAATATCAGAAAAGCTGCTGAGACATGTGTGGTAGTTTTCAAGAGGAAACTAGATCACCACCTCTCCTCCAAGTGCCAAATCAACTAGGCTGTGATGGCTGTGTGAGCCAACAAGCTGCCAACAGCAACAGAAAATCATGGCCCCATGAGGAAACATGAACAACTGCATTTAAAATCAATAAAAGATAGAGTAAAAACAAAGACGATTTATTAGCATTCTCAAGCTGGAGAATAAGAGACCAGTTATAACACAGATGTTACAAACATGATAAAAACTTTCAAACAACAAATTGGAGAAAAGAGTTGAAATGACATTTTGGTCAATCCTAGACCATTATTAATGGTACAGGATGTACAGAAATGTCATGTAATGTGTGGGTTGGTTGTGAATTGTTACAAAGACTTATATTCTTCATGCTAACAAGTAACCAAGAGGAGGCAGAAATACAAACTTTAATGTATAATATATGACAAACTTAAAATTGAAATCATGGCATAAAAAGCATAGTTCTGTTCCTGTAACGAGAAACAAGCAATCACATGTATACAATATTTATATATACATAGCCTTGTGGAGAGTAATGGCAAACTCTACATCTTAACAATTGTAAAAAACAAAAAAGATTGTGTAAATAATAAAAAATAAAAAATATAAAAACACTGAAAATCTAGTCGAAGTATCAAAGTGGTGGGAGTACAAGTCCTTAGAAGTCCCGTGACACTACAACCCATCAATAACACTAAATTGCCCCACAGTAAATTTTAATTAACATTTGGCTCATTTTCTTTCAGAGAGTATATACAGGGTAGCTTTATACAGCACCTTAATCTGGTTAACACTGACATTTACAAACAAAAGAAATAAAAGAGAGAGAGAAAATATAATGTGTGTTGAGAATGCCATTAGCATACTGTGGACCAAATCCTATGGTTTGTTTTCAATTTTTTGAACATGTGCAAACCTCCAAAAACCTGAAAACCATTAAAACTCCAACTATAGTGATACCTCGAGTTATGAACTTAATTCGTTACCGAAGGCTGTTCGAGTGCCGATACTGAACAAATTTGTTCTCATAACTAATAATGTAAATTAGATTAGTCTGTTTCAGACCCCCAAAAATACACTTACAAAAGCACTTACAAAAATACACTCGCATAACTGTTCAAGTTGGGAACTGTTCGAAACTCAAGGTACCATATTTTTTTATCTGAACTTGCCTAAACATTTTTTAAGACATTGTTTAGCAAAGTTGAGATGTGGAGTTGGCCCACACTAACAGCATGGCTCATACAGATACTACCTTGCACAATAAAACTTGTTTATCTAATCACTGGGCTTGTAATATGGTATGTAGCTCGCTGGGCTTGAAGACACCAAGTTCTGTGACTATGCCGCCTGTGATCAACTCTGCAGGAGTGACATCAAATGCCGGGTTCCAGCATGATATACCTGAAACAATAATAAACTTTTACCTCACATGAATACAAAGAATTTCCTAACTATATAGATAAAACATTTAAACTAAATATGACACATACATTAGCCCTAAACATTCAAAATGAAGAAAGTGGTACATAACAAGGCCCATAAATTTTTACAAGTGTCACCCACCATTCCACAAGCAGACTACTTACAACACTGAATAAACAAATCATGGAATGGGTGGGATTTGAACCCACAGCAAGTGAGTTCTAAAACTGCAAGCCAGTGCATTAACCACTGGGCTAGCTGGCTCTAGTAAGATTCATTCAACTAGGTCTATTTCTATACACTATAGGGAAGTTTGCATGGGCCACCACTGCGACTACAAATGCAAGTTTTTACAGATGAATCTCACACTAGTGTGGATGTGGAAAACTCTAACTCAAGTCCTCTCAATGGAGTTGTCGCAGCCAGTAATAAACAACACGCCCAGTATTTAGTTCACCATCCAGAGTATATCACTGTCTATATCTTGCCTCACTCAGCACTATTGTTAACAAAGAGCTCGCAAAAATAGTAACCTGGATGACTGTCAATGAACTTACACTTAATGTAAACAAAGTTAGCGATACCCCTGTACCAAGGAAAAAAAATCAATAATTTTAGAAGTCAAACTTGACATAATAAGATGACCTGAAAAATTTTAAACTCCCTCTCACTCCATATTCATATTTTTTTTTTTCAACAAGTCGGCCGTCTCCCACCGAGGCAGGGTGACCCAAAAAGAAAGAAAATCCCAAAAAAGAAAATACTTTCATCATTCAACACTTTCACCTCACTCACACATAATCACTGTTTTTGCAGAGGTGCCCAGAATACAACAGTTTAGAAGTTTTTTTTTTTTTTAACACACCGGCTGTATCCCACCGAGGCGGGGTGGCCCAAAAGGAAAAACGAAAGTTTCTCCTTTTACATTTAGTAATATATACAGGAGACGGGGTTACTAGCCCCTTCCTCCTGGCATTTTAGTGGCCTCTTACAACACGCATGGCTTACGGAGGAAGAATTCTGTTCCACTTCCCCATGGAGGTAAGAGGAAATAAACAAGAACAAGAACTAGTAAGAAAATAGAAGAAAACCCAGTGGGGTGTGTATATATATGCTTGTACATGTATGTGTAGTGTGACCTAAGTTTAAGTAGACGTAGCAAGACGTACCTGAAACCTTGCGTGTTTGTGAGACAGAAAAATGGACACCAGCAATCCTACCATCATGTAAAACAATTACAGGCTTTCGTTTTACACTCACTTGGCAGGACGGTAGTACCTCCCTGGGTGGTTGCTGTCTACCAACCTACTACCTAGGAGTTTAGAAGTGTATACATATAAAAATACACAATATATCCCTCCAAACTGCCAATATCCCAAACTCCTCCTTTAGAGTGCAGGCACTGTACTTCCCATTTCCAAGACTCAAGTCCGGTTATATAAAATAACCGGTTTCCCTGAATCCCTTCACTAAATATTACCCTGGTCACACTCCAACAGCTCGTCAGGTCCCTCGTCAGGTCCCAAATACCATTTGTCTCCATTCACTCCTATCCAAACCCCTAGCCCACAACACCTCCTTTACTCCCTCCCTCCAACCTTTTCGAGGACGACCCTTACCCCGCCTTCCTTCCCCTACAGATTTATACGCTCTCCATGTTATTCTACTTTGATCCATTCTCTCTAAATGAACAAACCACCTGAATAAACCCTCTTCAGCCCTCTGACTAATACTTTTATTAACTCCACACCTTCTCCTAATTTCCACACTCCGAATTTTCTGCATAATATTTACATCACACATTGCCCTTAGACAGGACATCTCCACTGCCTCCAACCGCCTCCTCGTTGCAGCATTTACAACCCAAGCTTCACACCCATATAAGAGTGTTGGTACTACTATACTTTCATACATTCCCTTCTTTGCCTCCATAGATAACATTTTTTGCCTCCACATATACCTCAATGCACCACTCACCTTTTTTCCTTCATCAATTCTATGATTAACCTCATCCTTCATAAATCCATCTGCCGACACATCAACTCCCAAATACATATATGAAAACATTCACTTCTTCCATACTCCTCCTCCCCAATTTGATATCCAATTTTTCTTTATCTAAATCATTTGATACTCTCATCACCTTACTCTTTTCTATGTTCACTTTCAACTTTCTACCTTTACACATACTCCCAAATTCGTCCACTATGCAATTTTTCTTTAGAATCTCCCATAAGCACAGTATCATCAGCAAAAAGTAACTGTGTCAATTCCCATTTTTTGTATTTAATTCCCCATTATTTAATCCCACCCTTCTCCCGAACACCCTAGCATTTACTTCTTTTACAACCAACCATGGTGACATTACACATCCCTGTCTAAGACCTACTTTTACCGGGAAATAGTCTCCCTCTCTTCTACACACCCTAACCTGAACCTCACTGTCCTCATAAAAACTCTTTACAGCATTTAGTAATTTACCACTTATTCCATATACTTGCAACATCTGCCACATTGCTTCCCTATCCACTCTATCATATGCCTTTTCTAAATCCATAAATGCAATAAAAACTTCCCTACCTTTATCTAAATACTGCTCACATATATGCTTCAATGTAAACACTTGATCTACACATCCCCTACCCACTCTAAAACCTCCTTGCTCATCCGCAATTCTACATTCTGCCTTACCTCTAATTCTTTCAATAATAACCCTACCGTACACTTTTCCTGGTATACTCGGTAAACTTATTCCTCTATAATTTTTACAATCTCCTTTGTCCCCCTTCCCTTTATATAAAGGGACTATACATGCTCTCTGCCAATCCCTAGGTATCTTCCCCTCTTTCATACATTTATTAAACAAAAATACCAACCATTCCAACACTATGTCCCCCCCTGCTTTTAACATTTCTGTCATGATCCCGTCAGTTCCAGCTGCTTTACCCCCTTTCATTCAACGTAATGCCTCACGCACCTCCCCCACACTCATATCCTGCTCTTCTTCACTCCTAAAAGATGGTATACCTCCCTTGCCAGTGCATGAAATTACCGCCTCCCTTTCTTCATCGACATTTAAAAGTTCCTAAAAATATTCTCGCCATCTACCCAAAACCTCCATCTCCCCATCTACTAACTCCCCTACTCTGTTTTTAACTGACAAATCCATTTGTTCCCTAGGCTTTCTTAACTTGTTTAACTCCAAAATTTTTTCTTATTTTCATTAAAATTTTTTGACAGTACCTCTCCCACTCTGCCATCCTCTCCCCCTTTGCACTCTCTCACCACCCTCTTCACCTTTCTTTTACTCTCCATATACTCTGCTCTTCTTATAACACTTCTGCTTTGTAAATACCTCTCATAAGCTACCTTTTTCTCTTTTATCACACCGTTTACTTCATCATTCCACCAATCACTCCTCTTTCCTCCTGCACCCACCCTTCTATAACTACAAACTTCTGCCCCACATTCTAATACTGCATTTTTAAAACTATTCCAACCCTCTTCAACCCCCTCACTACTCATACCTGCACCAGCTCACCTTTCTGCTAATAGTTGCTTATATTTCATCCGAACTTCCTCCTCCCTTAGTTTATACACTTTCACCTACCTCTTACTTGGTGTTGCCATATTCCTCTTATCCCATCTACCTCTTACTCTAACTGTAGCTACAACTAGATAATGATCCAATATATCACTTGCCCCTCTATAAATGTGTACATCCTGGAGCCTACCCATCAACCTTTTATCCACCAATACATAATCTAACAAACTACTTTCATTATGTGCTATATCATACCTTGCATATTTATTTATCCTCTTTTTCATAAAATATGTATTACTTATTACCAAATCTCTTTCTACACATAGCTCAATCAAAGGCTCCCCATTTTCATTTACCACTGGCACCCCAAATTTACCTACTACTCCCTCCACAACATTTTTACCCACTTTAGCATTAAAATCCCCAACCACAAGTACTCTCACACTTGGTTCAAAACTCCCCATGCATTCACTCAACATTTCCCAAAATTTCTCTCTCTCCTCTATAATTCTCTCTTCCCCAGGTGCATATATGCTTAGTATAACCCACTTCTCACATCCAACCTTTATTTTACTCCACATAATCCTTGAATTAATACATTTATAGTCCCTCTTTTCCTGCCATAACTTATCCTTCAACATTATTGCTACTCCTTCTTTAGCTCTAATTCTATTAGAAACCCCTGACCTAATCCCATTTATTCCTCTCCACTGAAACTCACCCACCCCCTTCGGCTTTGTTTCACTTAAAGCCAGGACATCCAGCTTCTTCTCATTCATAACATCCACAATCATCTCTTTCTTATCATTCGCACAACATCTACGCACATTCAGACTTCCCACTTTGACAATTTTCTTCTTATTCTTTTTAGTAATTTTTACAGGAAAAGGGGTTACTAGCCCATTGTTCGCGGTATTTTAGTTGACTTTTACAACACGCATGGCCTATGGAGGAAAGATTCTTATTCCACTTCTGCATGGATATAAAAGGAAAAGTAATTAGAACAAGAACTAAGATAAAATCAAAGAAAACTCAGATGAGTGTGTATAAATAAACGTGTAGTGTGACCTAAGTGTAAGTAGAAGTAGCAAGATGTACCTGTAATCTTGCGTACTTATAAGACTGACAAAAGAGACCAGCAATCCTACCATCACGTAAAACAATTACAGGCTTTCGTTTTACAATCACTTGGCAGAACGGTAGTACCTCAGTGGGTGGTTGCTGTCTACCAACCTACCTACCTACCTACCTCAATTCACATATCCGGTGTAAATCAGTGGTGATTATCAAAGGCAAAGTGTGAATCTTGGAACACATTAAAGGATCTGCACCTATACATGTATTCAAAGAAATAGGACAAGTGAAGTGTATCTACCTGGAGTGGGTTTCGGGGGTCAATGCCCCTGCGGCTCGGTCTGAGACCAGGCCTCATGGTGGATCAGGGTCTGATCAACCTGACTGTTACTACTGGCCGCACACAAACTGACGTATGAACCACTGCCCGGCTGGTCAGGTACTGACTTTAGGTGCCTGTCCAGTGCCTTCTTCAAGACAGCCAGGGGTCTATTGGTAAGCCCCCTTATGTATGCTGGGAGGCAGTTAAACAGTCTTGGACCCCAGACACTTACTGTGTTGTCTCTCAGTGTACTCGTGGCACCCCTGCTTTTCATCGGGGGAATGTTGCATCTCCTGCCGAGTCTTTTGCTGTCATAGGGAGTGATTTTCATGTGTGAGTTTGGTACCAATCCCTCCAGGACCTCCCAAGTATATATTATCTAGGGAAAATGTGAGAAAGCAAGGCAATTTAGGTCATTTGGGTAAGTATGTCATATTGTCAGTAAATTCTCCCAACATTATTACACTGAAATTTGCTATTTAGTATCTCACACATTTTCTCTTCCTCTTCAGTGAATTTATAGTCATCTTTGAGTCTGCATTTTGTTTTTCACACTTTTTTTTTTATTTTATTATCACACTGGCCGATTCCCACCAAGGCAGGGTGGCCCGAAAAAGAAAAACTTTCATCATCATTCACTCCATCACTGTCTTGCCAGAAGGGTGCTTTACACTACAGTTTTTAAACTGCAACATTAACACCCCTCCTTCAGAGTGCTGGCACTGTACTTCCCATCTCCAGGACTCAAGTCCGGCCTGCCGGTTTCCCTGAACCCCTTCATAAATGTTACTTTGCTCACACTCCAACAGCACGTCAAGTATTAAAAACCATTTGTCTCCATTCACTCCTTTCAAACACGCTCACGCATGCCTGCTAGAAGTCCAAGCGCCTCGCACACAAAACCTCCTTTACCCCCTCCCTCCAACCTTTCCTAGGCCGACCCCTACCCCGCCTTCCTTCCACTACAGACTGATACACTCTTGAAGTTATTCTGTTTCGCTCCATTCTCTCCACATGTCCGAACCACCTCAACAACCCTTCCTCAGCCCTCTGGACAACAGTTTTGGTAATCCCGCACCTCCTCCTAACTTCCAAACTACGAATTCTCTGCATTATATTCACACCACACATTGCTCTCAGACATGACATCTCCACTGCCTCCAGCCTTCTCCTCGCTGCAACATTCATCACCCATGCTTCACACTCATATAAGAGCGTTGGTAAAACTATACTCTCATACATTCCCCTCTTTGCCTCCAAGGACAAAGTTCTTTGTCTCCACAGACGCCTAAGTGCACCACTCACCCTTTTCCCCTCATCAATTCTATGATTCACCTCATCTTTCATAGACCCATCCGCTGACATGTCCACTCCCAAATATCTGAATACATTCACCTCCTCCATACTCCTCCCTCCAATCTGATATCCAATCTTTCATCACCTAATCTTTTTGTTATCCTCATAACCTTACTCTTTCCTGTATTCACATTCAATTTTCTTCTTTTGCACACCCTACCAAATTCATCCACCAATCTCTGCAACTTCTCTTCAGAATCTCCCAAGAGCACAGTGTCATCAGCAATGAGCAACTGTGACAACTCCCACTTTATGTGTGATTCTTTATCTTTTAACTCCACGCCTCTTGCCAAGACCCTCGCATTTACTTCTCTTACAACCCCATCTATAAATATATTAAACAACCACGGTGACATCACACATCCTTGTCTAAGGCCTACTTTTACTGGGAAATAATTTCCCTCTTTCCTACATACTCTAACTTGAGCCTCACTATCCTCGTAAAAACTCTTCACTGCTTTCAGTAACCTACCTCCTACACCATACACCTGCAACATCTGCCACATTGCCCCCCTATCCACCCTGTCATACGCCTTTTCCAAATCCATAAATGCCACAAAGACCTCTTTAGCCTTATCTAAATACTGTTCACTTATATGTTTCACTGTAAACACCTGGTCTACACACCCCCCCCTACCTTTCCTAAAGCCTCCTTGTTCATCTGCTATCCTATTCTCCGTCTTACTCTTAATTCTTTCAATAATAACTCTACCATACACTTTGCAGGTATACTCAACAGACTTATCCCCTATAATTTTTATTTTTTGGGCACCTCTTTTATCCCCTTTCCCCTTTATACAAAGGAACTATGAAATGCTCTCTCCCAAATTTCCCTAGGTATTTTTTCCCCTTTTTAAAAATACATTTTTTAAAATTTAATTGCCCCAAACCCACCCCCAAAATTTACCCCAACCTGCTTTTAACTTTCTATCTTTACCCCATCAATCCCGGTGCCTTCCCCCCTTTTCCATTTTACCTACGGGCCTCACGAACTTCCCCCCCCACTCAAAAACGGGCTTTTTCCTCACTCCTACAAGGGTTATTTCCTTTCCTTGCCCTATCCCACAAAATTTCACAGCTTCCCTATCTTATAAACCTTTTAAAACCAATTCCTCAAAATATTCCCCCATCCCCCCAAATTCCTTTAAAACTTCCTTTTAAAAAAAACTCTCCTCTCCTTTTTTAACTCCCAAATCCATTTGTTCTCTGGGGCTTTCTTAACTTGTTAATTCACTCCATTATTATTTTTAATAAAAAAGAAGCGCTAACCCAAAACAAGGACTATACAGCGTCCCGGGGGCGGGGAAGGGGAAGCGAGGGCATCGGGGTGGAAAAAGGGGAAAGATGGAATGAGAAAATGGGTTTTTACGGAAAACAGGGGGGCCCCCAGTGGTTTGGTAAAAGGGGGTAAAGGGCACAAGGGGACTGAACAAAAAAAGGGCTGAGGGGAGGCAAAAAAGTATCAAAAGTTTGTGGGGGAAAATAAAGTCGTTTGTCAAGAAGCCCAATGAGGAGTCAGGTTTTAAAGGGGGGTTTCCATCAGAAAAAGGGGAAAAAGGAAAGAGAGAGGGGGGAAAACCCAAAGACGACTTTTGGAGGAAAATTTCTGCGGGCTATTGAAGAAAAGGGCGTCTAACAAAATGTGGATAATCGATACGGGAAAATTTGGGCCCTGCTCACGAGAGGAACAGGGTGCCTTCCATGAAAACCCAAATGAGTAAGACGAGTGGGGCCCAAAAAGGGGAAGGCGGGGAAGGGGTGGTCCCCAAAACCTGGCCTGATGACAAAAAGGGCGGCCTTTTAACCTAGGGGCTCGGTTTAATAGAAAAAAAGTTTTGTTCCCGACCCAGAGTTGACCCCGTTGTTCCCAAGGGTGCAAAGGGTTTGGGTAGCTATTGCAGAAAAATGGGTCCAAAAATGGAAACCCCCTCGATAGGAAATTGGAAAGGTCATTTTTACTGCTGACCGGCAGCAGTGTCTGCCTTTTTCATTGCCCTTTTACGTCGAAATGCCGGGGGAAAACCCCAACAAAAAAAAAATTTCTTTATTTTTTGGTGGGAGATACGGCGTACCCAAAAAGTTGGTACGGAAAAAAACTGGGGGGATGGATTTTTATAAAATTTTCGTTTTACCCTTTTTAGACCCACAAAAGGGAGTCTGGGGAACTACTACAAATGAGGGAACAGGCATAAAAGCGATAGAATAATGCTGCAAGAAGGCTTTACAGTTCAGCGGGTAAAAAAGCTAGCAAAAGTTAGAAAATGCCCCGTACGACCCCTGTCCGGAAACACTGTTTCCCAAATCCGCCCCGTCTGAAGATTAGAGTTCTGTGTAACAGGGGTGGCATGGGGGAATTGGGAGTGGAAGTGATCAAAAAAAAAGAGGGGGGGAAAAGCCCCCGAGGCAGTTGAGTTTCGAGAAAGGGGATTTGGAGAAAGAACGCCCCGAAACGGGCTGGAATTCCCCGGGGGGGTTTGGGAAAAAGGGAGTGTTTACATAAACCTATAAAGGTGGAATAAAGGGGGAAGACAAGATTGAATGTAGGCGAAGGGGGAAAAAGGGACGGAAAAAAAACAGGGGCGGCGAAAAAAAAAGGGGAATGTTTCCCTTAATATCGGGTGACCATTTTAATAAATGGAAGGATTGTTTTTGATCGTGAGGGCGTCCCCAATAGTACCCAAAGGGCAATGGGCATCACCGGCGACGACAAGGAGGGAAAATTTTTTGCTTCTGTATAGGGGCTTAAAAAGGGGGAAGAGCAAAAAAGCCCCAAGGGGCCACAACGTAACCCTTGGGGGGTGGATAGAGTTAAGGCTAGAGAGAGTAGCAGGAGAGGGCCGCAAAAATTAAATCTGGTCACCATAAATCGAGTTTCGTTTAAAACGGGGGGCTGAATGTAGGCGAAGCGAGTTCGACGTTTCAGCCCCCCGGGAAAAGATGAGAAAAAGGGGGTTTTTTAAAAAGGGTTTAGCCGGCTGTGACAAGTTGCCTTAGAGAGGTTTTTGTGGGGTTTCCGGGAAATTAACCGCGGTAAAAAGAAAAGGGCCTAGAAACCTAAACTGTATCAGGGTTTGGGGATACGGGACCCATAGAGATACAAAGGATGTTTGGAAATAACAGAGCGTCTAGTGAAAGAAATTTTGGGTTTGGTTTTTGGGTACTTAAAAAATTTAAACCCATGTTTGGGGGGCCCAAGTGGAAAATGGTGACCGCAGGGCTGGAGAGAAACTGCAATAAGGTGACAGTCAGCCCCCCTCCCACAACCCAATAGCGAAGTCATTAAACAAAAGAGTGATGCCCAAAATTTGGGTGGAAGAACGGGGGGGGGGGCCCAAAAATTTCATTTATGCAAGGAGAAAAAGTTTTGGGGTTTTGAACAAAACCCGGGAGGGACACCTTCAGCTTGGACAAAAAGGTCCGGGGGAAAAGAAATTTTTTGATTTAAAACAGGGAAAGGTCTTTTCATTTAAAAAAAGTTCTTAAGGAAGGATGGTGGGTTTTGCCTCGGGGGCCAAAAGGAAGGGGCCTGGGCCAAAATATTATACCTCCAAGTTGTGTCTTTCCCTTCTCAAGGTAAAAAAAATAGGGGCAAAAACTGATTGATTATTCGCAAAGGCATTACGAAAATACGTATCCAAAGCTTTAATAAAGGGGTCTATGGTGGGAAGACCCTTACAAAAAACCCTTTTTGGGATACGGAGAGACTGTTGTGAGTCTTAAATCCCCACTTTAAAAAAGTCGTTTTCGAGGGTTCCATCACTTTGAAAATGCATTTATTTAAGAGCGAGGGGGTGGGATAAGTGGGAGGCATCATGTCCTGTAGTACCCGGTTTCCCGGAAAGGGGAAAACAATGGCAGTTTTCCACAGGGGGGAAAACCCCTTTTGTGCCCAAATAAGTTTAAAGGGGTGTAGAGGATCCCAAGGGCGGGACCAAATTTGTAAATGTTTTTAAATAGAATTTTGAAGGGTCGTCGGGGCCCAGCTCCCGATGATCGGCAAGCTGAGGCGTTGCCCCCAAGTTTTTGGGAAGTGAAAAAAGG